CAGGATGCCCACCAGCAGCTGTACAGGGAGGAGGATCCCTGGTCTGAGCTGCCCTTCTGCACCCTCCTGGGTCCCTCCTCTCCAAAGCCTCCCCCTCCTCCGCACCCACCTGGCCACTCTGGAAATCGTAATCCAGGGAGTACTGCAGTCGTCCCAGCTCGTGCTTCTCCGCCACCTGCTGCCCTGGCCCGGAGAGTGCCGGCTCCAGTTCCTCCACTTCCGGTTGCACCTTGGGGAGCCAGGGGCAAGGGCGGGTAAACTCTTCCCCTGAGGGTGTCATCCTCCAGGCCCAGAAGCCAAGGGAGACTCCCACATCCCTAGGTTATACCTGAGCACTTGGGGACTAAGCAGCCTTGGTGTTCGATTAGTGATGTCTGCCACTGGGGAGGGAATAACCATAGCAGCACAGGGTGTAGTGTTTTTCTCGGTGTTTGATTGGTGATGTCTGCCACTGGGGAGGGAATAGCCACAGCAACACATGGGTGTACAGTGTATTTTTGGTGTTTGATTAGTGATGTCTGCTGTGGTTGGGGACAGTGGTGAAATAGGCACCCATGGTAGCCTAGAAAAACAAGTGTAATAGGGTTTCCCTGCCTTCAGGGAAGAGGCAGGAGATTTTATTTCACGTGGATGTATCGGGGTTGTGCAAATTGCTACAATGTTTAGACAAAGGCAAACTATGGGGCAAAATGGCGTATTCACTGTGTATTTGCCCTTCTATACTAGAACAGCAAAGTCAAGAAGACTTCCTTAACCCAGGCCACCCATTTTCAAAATCTAACGTGAAGCAGAATTCTCCTGATTGGGGTGGCAGAATGCCTTCACTTCAGAGATTCTGACTCAGCAGGTTTGGTGTGAGATCCAGAATTTGCCTTTCAATGACACCAGAGGTGATTCTGACACAATGGTCTCTGGAAGTCATTGGCTTAAGGGATAGGGATGGGAACTGGATGCCAGGACGCTCAAGGGCATCACTATGGGTAAGAATTGTGGCCGCTACTTTTTGAAAAGGGAAGAGGGGGAAATATGAGTTATGGACCATGCACTTGAGGCTCAGAGAGGGACAGAGAATTCCCCAAGGCCACACAGCTGGTTGGAAACGCAGCTCCCAGGTGAGCACCATTGCATTTTGCATCCAGAGACCTGATGCTCAAATCCTTGCACCTGTAGCCTTGCATTTCCCACGCCAATCGCTTCTTCCAACTCATGGCTCCTTCCTCCTCCCTGGGCTTCATCCCCCATGTCTGTCCTCCACATGGATTCTTAACATCCAGCTGGCCCTGCCCCCGTCCTTCTCAAAGCTTCCATGGCCCCCAATCACCCTCCTTCCGTGGACACTGCTGGCTCTCCAGCCGCCTCACTCTAGAGCAGTGGTTCTCAACCTTCCTCATGCCGCGACCCTTTAATACAGTTCCTCATGTTGTGGTGACCCCCAATTTCATGGTTACAAATTGACATAATTAAAGCATATTGATTCATCACAAAAACAATATGTAATTATATATGTGTTTTCCGATGGTCTTAGGCGACCCCTGTGAAAGGGTCGTTCGACTCCCAAAAGGGTCGTGACCCACAGGTTGAGAACCGCTGCTCTAGAGCACAGTACACGCCCCGCCCATTGTGAAAGTGACCCATTGTTCCCCAAATACCCGCAAGAACCTGGATTCCAGGCCCCAGCATATGCTCTTTGGGCTAGAATGTCCTTCCCTCTGCTCTCAGTTAACTCTGTGGGTCTCCTGGGTCTCAACACAGAAGTCACCTCCTCTGGGAAGCCTTCAGGGACCTTCTAGGCTGTGAGGTGTTTCCATACGCCTGGTGCTGCCTCTGATGGGGCACATACCGCCTTGCATTGTGAGTATGTGAGTGTCTGACTCCCCCGCCAAACCGAAAGGTTCTTGTGGCCAGTGACTACTAGGTCCGGCCCATCTCCAGTTCCCCAGGGTCCGGTTTGGGGCTAGAGACCCACCGAGGAGATGGGCAAACAAGGTAGGCAGAGGAGGGAAGGGGCAGGGCCACACCTTGTTTATGTAACTCCGGCCCAGCTCCTTCACTTCCTGAAGGTGGACCTGGGCTTGGGCCTGGCTCTTCTTGCCCAACCGCCTCCGACAACGCTTCCGGTACAGACAGAAACAGCAGCTGAAGACGAGGAGGCCTGAGACCAGCACGACTGTGGCCAGGGCCCAGGGGGGCACTGCGGAGGACAAGGACACAGAGACACTGAGGCCCTGGGAAGTCGGTGTGACCTCACCTATGAAGCCATTTGATGCCCTAACCCAGCCTGACACCGTCTGATTTTTTTTTTTTTTTTTTTTGCCCATCACGTCCACCCCCCCATTCTAATGTTTCTGCTCAACTCCTAATGCTTTTGGAAGCATGAACCCCTCCCCGAGCCTGTTTCTCTATCTTTAAAAAGGGGGGACAGCTCAGCGACTGTGGCTCAGTGGTAGAGCCGTGAACAGCTATGAACCAGGAGGTCAGGGTTCAATTCTGGGTCAGGTACACGCCCCAGTTGTGGGCTAGATACCCAGTAGGGGGCGTGCAGGAGGCAGCCCATCCATGATTCTCTCATCATTGATGCTTCTCTCTCTCTCCCTCTCCCTTCCTCTCCGAAATCAATAAAAGTATTTTTAAAAAAGAAAGAAAAAATAAAAGAGGGACAGGTGGACCCTCTAATTCACCAATGCAAGAGCCCGTTCCATTCCACGCCCCCTTGGTCTAGTTCTCGTGCAGGATTTTTTGTTTTGTCTTTTTTTGTTGGGTTTTTGTTTGTATGTTTGTTTGTTTTAGTTTTATTTTTTTGTAGCAAACCTGTTCTTTTCTCATTTCACTTAGATTCCAGCCCAGGATTCCGACCAGGATCCCATCCGGATTTGCCACCCGCCAAACACACCCGTCCGAATCCCGCCCCAGTAAATCCTGGCCCGACTTTCCCTCCGCTCCAACCCCGGATTCGGCTCACCAGGGCCGTGGCTGATGCGACTTGAGTCCGGAGGCGTGTCGGACGCTGGAGGCCCCGGGGTTGGGGGCTCCGGAAACATGGCGGCGGGGTCCTACGGTCCTTTCTGCGGAGGCACCCAAGCGCCCTAGCCTCCCACGCCCACCCGTGCAACCATTGAGTCCTCCGAACAACAAAGAACTACAACTCCCATTGGCACCCTGGGCGACCGGCCGCACGGGAGTCGGCCCGCCGCCGCAAGGCATGTTGGGGGTTGTAGTTTCAGCCTCCCCGAGAAGGAGGGAGTGCGCTAGGGGTGCGTTCCAGGACTTAGTTCCATCCCCAAGGAACGCCTCCTCGGTCCCAGGTCCCCGCAGGAATCCCGCTGACTTGTTCCCTTTCTTTGCGCCTTTCCAGGACCTGAATCGGAAGTGGGCGAAGGCGAGCGTGGGAACCATCTCACCCAGTTGCCCAGAGCAACGCCTGGCTCCGCTTGGGCCGGGGTGGGAGTCACTCTGGTTGCCCCGGCAACGGCCTGTTGCCACGACAACGGGCGGGGCACCCCTGACTAAAGACCAGTCTCTGGGGGGTTTCCGGGGGGAGGCCCGCTGATTCAGTTCTCTGTTGGGCCTGGAACCCCAGACCTGGATCCCGGGACCAGTGAAGGTGGGAGGGACGGGCCCCCACAGCTGGCCCCTCCTCCACATCTGGCCATGGAGGCGGGGACTCAGTCTCTCTTCCTCTCCCACTCTTCCGGGCAGTGTGGGGGTCGTGGCGGGGGGGGGATGGGTCTCCCCTGCCCTCCGCCGCCGGTTGTCTGGTCTCTGTCTCCCGGGGTCGCTCACTCTCGCCCCGGGCCTGCCCCTCCCTCCCCTCTGGCTCTTGGTCCCCACACCTGTCTCCCCCTTCCGGCTGCAGCCCTCCCACGCCCTCTGTCGGTCCCTCTGCGGGTACCCCCATGCCCCCCACCGCCTGTCCCTCTCGGGATGGGAGTGAGGATGCGGCTTCGGGAGGGGATCCCCGCAGCTCCTTACCTGCTCAGCGGCCGCTCAGGACCCTCCCCCGGAGACACCGGGGCGCCGGCGGGACTGACGCAGGCGGGCGGCGCTGTCCGCGGTGCTGATAGTGGAGAGAGGTGGGCGGGGGCGCGGCTGGGCGGAG